CCGTTTCAGGGTTAGCAGCTTCTCAGATAGCTTCCGGGTCAAGCGGTCTGTCGGATCTTTGTTGAGCAGCAAAGATCCGATCTACATCTACGATCTACGTCGCGATCTACATCTCAAGTGACTACATCGTGAGACAAACGATAATACACTTTATTATTTTGAAGTATTTGCAAAAACTAAAGTCTTTGCATTTACTTATGACCCAAGATAGTTCACTGAGAAAAGTTTGAGGGAAAACGTTTTTCCGACCAGAAATGCAGTGGACCGCTTTTAGAGAGACTGCCACTTAACTAGGCAACTCGGAAATGGCCCATAAAAAAACTGCGAGTGGTCCTTAAGGCGAGTGCAATTTCAAACAGCTTAGTGTATTATTAATTGTCTTCAATTGATATCCAATACAGTCGGGCCTTTCGCTAGCGGACACCCTTAAAACCCGAAAAAATCCCATGCAAGCAGAAAAAAGTGTCCACTTAAGGAAACTGTCATCTCATGGGGGTAGAAAGGAATGCACTTTTTTGTATGTGACTGGGACTACTAAGTGTCCGATAACGAGGGATGTCCACCGACGGAAGGTGACCGTTAGTGGAAGTTTGACTGTAGAGCGTTAGGTGAAATAAGTTGGATTGGTAACAATTGCTCGTCTTGTTTGTTTAGAATATTGATGGAAACACTGACAAGGACTCTGTTGTTTATCACGAATTAAAACCTCCACTCCAGGCACGATACATCCGTTTTCGTCCAGTGGATTGGAAAAATCACGTTTCGATGAGGGTGGAAGTCTACGGTTGCTGTGAAGGTAAGGAATCTACATCCAGCTTTAACAATCATTCCCATTTCTCAATATCAAAAGACAATCGACAGTTATTTGAGTATGTAGACGTCTACTGCCTTTTTCTATAGCTTCAAGGGGATGGCCTAATGGAAAGTAACGACTGGTTGCAGGTTAAAAACTTCGGTGGTCTTTTTCTGCACAACCAGTACTATATCCATGTGGGCAAATAACACAGTAAGGGCTATAAAGTGGAAATAAGCATTGATTTGCCACCACCGCAGTTAACATACATAAAAGGAACAAAATACAACTTACAAAACAAAAAATCAAAAACAAAAACAAACAAACACACAATTACATAAATACTGTGGAGATTTCATTCTGGATGCTGAAAAGACTAGCAGCTGGAAATTGCTTATCTACCTGATATTCCATGACCCCAATGATTTTCCATAACTGATATTTTGTCAAAAATCGTACAAACTATTGATAGTTATGATTTTAAAACAATTAAGAGCGTAAATCCGAAAATATCGAGAATCAGCCGACAGAAGCGAAATATCGAGTTTTTTCTTACTT